GACATGTACGATGAAAAGTAAAACAGGTATTCAAGAATATATAATTATATATAGTATATACTATGTATTATAGTGAATTATAGTGTTATAGTATATACATAGTTCTTTGGTCATTTTATAGTGGTTGGCGATAATTTTTTTAAAAATCGCACCAAGGCAACAGTATACTAGGATTTTACCAAAAATTAAATATAGAAAATGCAGTTCAAAAGTCGTTAATCGGACTCTCGGGACTTCGCAATTCTGGATTATCGAATTTTTTTTTTTACTTGTTTAACTTTATTAAACATTTTCTTTCAATGTGTTTGTTGTTTAAGTTGCTTTCGTTTTTATGTGATAATACTTTCTCTCTAATTCTATAAAACGAAATTTCTCTTCAGTTGCAAAGTTCCAATGTTTAAGTCCTAAATTGCTTGTATCGAGAACCGACTAATTTTCAATCGAAATTTTTTTCATTTTCAATAACCTCTGTGTCACTTTCTTCACTATCAGAAGTGAATTATAATGATGAGGAATTTGATTTAAATCATATCAAAGACGGAGTACATCGAGATGAAATACTACATTTAGTAAGGAATTATAAACCAAATAAAATAAAAAACATCTACCCTGAAGATAAGGATAGTGCTGACAAATCAACTTCCGATTCATTGCGTGCTGCGGCATTCCTCCCTCCGCCAACACAAAGCAAACTGTGCACAGTATTACACTCTGGCTGTTATATAAGTGTCCACAAGTAATTAAGTTACCACCCCAATTGCTAGATTTTAATCCTATTTGGCAGGAACTAGAATCGAAAATTCGAAAACAGAGCATATTTTTGCGGCAGCAGCTGAAAGCAGTTGTTCAAGAGGAGTAGCATAAAATAAGTCTAAAAATAACAAAAATAACTTGTGGAGTCAATGTCTAAAAGATTAAATATAGTGATCAAGTGTAAAGGTAATCCCACAAGATATTAAGAAGCACAAACAATGTAAGTTTTTGTCATTTTTGGCTGCTACTAAAAGTAGTAAAACTACTATTATTTTCTTGTTTCGGAAATATGTATACCATAAAAAACATGTTGAATTTATATATAATCAAAATACCAACTTTTCTTTTTGTTTTAATGTTCATTAAACACAAAAATTCATAATAAGAACACAAAACAATTAACAATAAAGAACACAAAGATTCTGTGCTAAAAAAGCTCAAGTGTCTAATTATTTTTGTAAGTCACTGTACATATGATTCGGGCACGCGGATAAACGCAGAATAACGTGCACTAATTTAGATGTCAATATACATAAGTGAGTTGAACTTACGTTGGGTATCTTTATAAACAGTTGCATGGAACTGCGGCCAAATTCTTGAAATTTTTGCAAGTAACATTTTCGCAGCAAAAATCCCGTACTTCAAAATAAGCTCGTAAATAACTTACCGCTGTTACGTTTTTTAGCCCGCAGGGGTTAACAGTACGGCGCTTCGTATTTCTCTTTCTTCCCCATGCTTTATTTTTGACCTTCGGGCAGAAAGGTGTAGGATATGCAGAAGCGTAAAGTTTGTATGTTTAGTATCAAGGTTCTTTAAAAAGTAAGTGCGTATAGATAAAGGGTAAGTTTAAATTGTTTTCTTTATATATTTAGCAAATGGTTTTTAAGAGACGGGGATTGTGATTCTGATCTTCACTGCTATGATCTCAGGCAATTAACCCTCCGGTGTCACTAAACACAGTTACTAATTAGGTTTGTAAATTGTTCTAATGAAGAATTTTCGTACTTGCTTGCACATACTCAGTATCCATGTACACATCGACGTATATTGATTTTAAAAAAACATCCCAGAATTGCACAAAAATGGCATTGCGCACTCCCTTTACTTTATCCATGAACACATCGACCTATTTTCACTTAAAAAGTCAAAGAAAATTGACAAAAATCCAATTCTTCTTACTCTTGTAAAAAGCGCCAAACAAGTGGGCGATTCTGTACTTTACCCGAAATTCCTTGCCAGCCTCTGTTATACCTTTGGAAAAAATTAACCTTATGTTAAAATAGTAAATAAATTTCTCAAATATATTAAATATTGATTCATCTGGTAGTATAATATTGTTTCAGTGTAAGAAATCTTACCATAAATTTTTGCAGAACCAGATATAATTTTCTTGTTGACAAATAGTTTCCTTCTTTCTGATCCTCATCAGTAGGCATTTGCTGTAATGACTTTTCTGACAGTTTTGCAGGTAACTAAGTTGCAAACCATTCTTCAAAATCTTCTGGTAGTTTTACAATCCTAATGTTTGGATTTTTTTTGACTTCCCATAAGATAAATCTCTAATTCTTTTATCTTAACTTGAAATGTAGTCTAAATTTCAGTGCATTTTGAATAGTTTCACACAGTTTCATCGATTAATGCATTAGTTGATAGATAGTAGTACAGTAGATATATGAGCACTTTACATCAAGGATTTTTTGGATATTATGAGTATTGTAACCATGTTTAAAATGGTGAAAAATTAAATTTCTAACAAAGCTTATCGTTAATATGTTGTTCACTTTAGCTATGGAACTGTTAATATATTTTGCTTAACAAGTAATAATTTTGAAATACATATGATAATTTTTGTGTAGTTTCATGCAAAACAAAAAATTATGACAAGAAACGTTATCTCTCAAAGCATTTCAACAAAAATTTTAAGTGTCTAAATTATTTTGTGAAATTAATTGACGTTTTTTGAGTAAATTATTTGATTATGTTTAATATTTTGATGATATTTATTTTGCAATAAGCAAGGCCTAAAATAAAGAAAAGATTATACAATAGAAAAATATTTTTCTGTGTCTCGTATTAATACAAAATACATATGTAAATAAATTTCAAAAATACAATTGTTTGGAAGTAAATGTGAGCCATTATATATAAGGGTTCCAGTTAGAGTATATTTAAGGGTGTCCCTTGGATTATTACCAAGTTCTTTTATTTATTACCAAGTTGTTGTTTCCTTTATTGTAACCTGAGTAGTTGAACAGGTTTAAGTAGGGAGAAGGGTACCCCTTGTATTATCGCGAAGTTGTTTCATTTATCCCCAAGTTGTGATTTATTTATGGTAACCTGAGTAGTTGAATGTTATGGAAACCCTAATATGATGTAATTGGTTGCATGGTTGCAGTTAATTTGAATCATGGGAAAAGATATGGAAAGTGTGCATTGGATTTTTGATAAGTACATTATTTTGTGGTTTACGCAGTAAAATGCCTGAATGTGGTAAAATTAATTTGAATTTCTGTATGATTTAGAATGAAAGGAAAAAAAGCATTAGTTGACTGGTGTGTAAATGAAGATTTATTTAGTAGTCATTATTAGGAATCCTGTTTGTAGGAAGGAAATGTGTATGGTCAAACTATATTAGCACGGCAGAGGATATTTTTGTGAATTAATGTGGCAAAGCCAGTGTACAGATTCTGGTTCAGATAATTTTAGGAAGTTTTTCATTGCTGCTAAGGAATTTTTCTTGATTGAGGACGCGTTAATTCATAAATAAGGTAAGTGGATATTTCCTTTGTGTAGCGGCGATTACTCAGTATCCATGTGCTGCCAAAAATCACCAATTTTTGCCAAGGGGTACCCGTAAATATACTTTTACCAAGGGTTCCAAATCATTTTAGACTTCTTTGAAGATAATTAGTCACTCTAGAAGACATGATTCAGTGATGTTCAATATCAGCATTTATTCAGTGTGCGGTGTTCTCAGAAATGCAGTCTGCTTTTAGAAGTAGGAAGAAGTGTTTTCAGAGTCAGTACTGGTTGGAAGGTTCACTTATTCTTTTCTGATAGCTATTTAGTTTATTTACTTCTTTTGTCAAGAATTCATATTTCTAGTAATCTGTTAACTGCAAGTAGGAATGAATCACTATATGTTTGTTGATTGGAATAATTTTAAGTTTTTTTATTTGCGAGTTTCGGCATTTTTCTTTTGTGTGTTTATTTTAAATTTAATGAAATAGCCGTTCCTGTCATGACATCACATCGTTCTTGTTATGAGTAGGATCGCTATTTCTCAAATTAGATTTTGTATGCATGTTTATACTTGGTGCCAAGCAGTAAACTGAAAAGTACCGATAATTCCTCAAAATGTACTTTTTGCGAGCAGGTATGAAACTTTTGGAAATTCATCGTATGTTAGCCAGGTACAAAACAGTAAATGAACAAATGAAAGTTTGTGAATAGATTTCAAAATTTAAAGCAAAAGAATAAATGCTTTTATTAAAAATCAGGTTGATCTTTACAATATGGTAACTGGTAGTTTGGCGACATTTTGGAGGCGATAAAGGTTACTACCTGGGACTTTGGTAATAATGTGAGCAGTACTCAGTTCTGATTACGCATTATTTTGCGTGAGGGAAATAAGAGAGCATGGGATATGTCATGTGATATTAATGGACGAATTACGGTTCTTTAATCGGAAAAGGGGGGAAATCGGGAAAAAATCTGGAAATTTTGTATTTAGCTTTATTCTGTGTTGTGTGAAACAGTGTTGGTTAATTTTTGGATCCCATGGCCCTAACTAAAGTGAATTCGAAATGGGTATTTAGGCATTGTGATAAAGAGAAGTTTGCTTTTTATTTAGCGGAGAAGTATGGAGGAAAAATTCGCAGAAAAAAATCTTTCAATAATTTTATGAATGAATTAGAAAAGTGTATCCGCCACGTAATCAAGATTCTGAAGAAGATTAGGTAAGTTAGTATTTTTAATTATTTTGAGGATATTATTTTTATGCATTGTTCTAAATGTAAGGTGGAAAGGAATTTGGTATTATTGGGAAAATTGTTATTAGCAATGATTTAGTTTTAAAGTATTAGGATTGTAAGGTAATTTTTTTTAATTTAATGTATGTGCTCATTTATATTTTAAGTAGTGTTTTTGAATTTAATTATTATTTTAATGAAATGATAGTTATTTTGTGAATTTTATGTTTGTAGGAATTTGGTATATACGTTTTAGTTGAAGTAAACGTGCATGGAAATAATTTAAATATCTGACACTAAGTATTTGTAATGGTTGCAGTATGAATTCGTTGGTGACGTTTATAATATAATAGATGATTTAGAGGTAAAAGTTTTTGGATATTTTATTTATTTTATATGTGGAAATGTTCATATTTTGGAAAGGGTAAAACATACTTTTTCGCGATCAGGTAATTTCATATATGTTCTTTTTACCGGGTTTAAAGATTGAGAAAATTGTCATGTATTTTCGTGAAATTTTTCTAATTTATGAGAAAAAAAAAGCAGTGTACATGGATTATAGTGAAGAGTGTGCGCAATGCCATTTTTGTGCAATTCTGAGATGTTTTTTTAAGTAAAAATAAGTCAGCGTGTACATGGTTTATGTGTATGTGTTATTTTAAAAAACGCGTAAGGAGTATGGTATTGTGCACTTTTTCCCAATTTTGCAGTAAATATTTGTCATGATTAAGCAGTTTTGTTTGATAAAATTTCCAGCATAAGTGTAATTCGGCTAGTAGATTGTTGGAAGAAGTGTTCAGTAGATAAAAAGAAAAGAAACATGTCTTTCTTCGTGAAGACAAAATGGCGGCGGGGAAAAAAAAATAGAGGGTTGCTGTAGGAGAGTTGGTTGCCAAAAAATCGCCAAGTTACCATAATGTAAAGATCAATGAAAAATCAATATCGTTACCGTCATCATTACAGATGAAAGCTTATATCCTAAAGATGAATGTCCTGATTACCAGCAGTTGATGAATAATGTTGTTAGTATTTGGAAATTAACTGTGAATCTATACCAGCCATGGAGCACAAATGACTGTGGAAGTGGAATAAGTGGAAATTGATTTTGAAAGTCTGTTTTAATCAAATGAAGCTAGTTGAATAATATTAATGAGCGGCCTTGCAGAAGAACTATATAAAAAAGTGATATGTTATTATTATTTTTATTTTTTTTAATATATATTTGTACTCACCCCACCCCCAGAAAGTTAAATAGAAAAATAACTTGTCAAGCTAATTTCCTATTGAAGAGGAGTGATCGTATTATTTATTAGCTCTCAAAAGGCACTGAGCCTTTTTATTCGAAATGTAGTAGAGATGTAATTTCACCTGCCATTAATTAAAAATTTTATTAAAAAATTGTGAGAAAGAATCATGCATTTAAGGCGTTCAATGATTATTAGAATGCACCCCCTTTTTACTTCCTTGTACAAAGAAAAGGAAGTATTGTAATCACGGAAAATTCCGTGTACCATATTTCAACAAAAATATCCATTTTGACTGGTATCGAATGCAATTTAACAATGTATTTGCCTGACAGCTGTACGTAAGGACAGAATAAAGGATTTTTTTTTGTTCCCTAAGTGAATTATAAAACTGATTTAAAATGTATTCAGAAGAGATTTTTGCATAGTGTCTGTATATACATATGTATGCATCTCAAGTAGCGAAAAAACAAGCAGTTTTGTGCAGAAATTTAGTATATAGGACTCTTATAACATGTAGTTGTGCACCTCCCTTTTTCATTGCAATAGGCCACACCAAAAGTGTATATGTACCCACTCTGTTACTCGTCTCAATGAGCTTAGTTTTTTATTCTTATATGCTGGTAAATTGTGCATTTTTTACTTTAAAAATTATTGAAACATGTTGTTCTTATCTTCCAGTTAAGGTTTTTATGCTTTTAGTTAATTTGCATTCAGTATTTGTAGAATTATCAACAGTTTAGTTGTTTAAGTGCAGCTAAGCCTCTCTCTCTCTCTCTCTTTTTTTTTTTTTTTTTTTTTTTTTTCCATAGCAGCCATATTTGTTTGCACTTGAAACTGTGCAGAATAGTGAATTAATTATTTCTGCACCTTCAGTATCTTTTTACCAAGTGGGACCGAAAGGAAACTTTTAGTTTTGTGCACTGAAGAATCTGCCTTCTTGCCTACTGGCCAAATTGCATGTTTTCACATAGAAACTGTAATTTTAATTGTAAAAAAAAAAGTTTTTTTTAATTAACCATATTTGGTATTTTATGTTTTTCTATATTTTTCAATTTTTAATGAAAATATCGTGAGTTTTTATGTATTTTTGCCTTGCTGCGAAGGGAGAACTGAATTAATTGAATGAGAAATATATTTCTAATGAAATTCGAGGAAATAAGTTTAAATGAAATGCTGGAGAAAATGCGTATAATTTAATATTCTGTACAAGGAAGTACACATCAGCTTTTTTACTTTAAAACATAGTTAATGCAATTTCATTTATTGATAATATCTTGATGAAAGAAACATTATTTGAGGTTTTGAAATATTTTTTTTAACTGTTTCTTTTATTTTTTAAGTTATTTAAAATGTCTTTGATAAAGCTTCCACTTAAATATGGGAATTCACTTAATCTTCACAGATGTACTGTTTGTATACTTCAGCAAAATATATGGGAGTCTAAAGATTCCTGGGAAAAACAACAGAAAAGATCAAAAACCAATTTTGCTCATGCTCGGTCAAATAGAGATCCTCATGGATCTTTTGCCTATTCCTTCTTTTTAGGTAGCATTATGATAATTAGTTTCCTTGATTGGAAATGGTAAGTATAGTTGAAATGGTTTATCTGTAAATATAAATCTATGACATTGAGTTCTTTCTCAATGTAATAAATATAATGAACCTGTCTTCTTGATCACAGCAAATATTCTTTTATATACAGTAGTGAGTAATGAAAATTTTAATAAAGAGATTTTAGCATTTTATTTTACAAAAACAAAATATCAAATTCTAATTAAATGCCTTATTTTTTACAGACATTTCTAAAAAAATAATTAATTTTTTATGAAAAATTTTTTTAAGTACTTTTTTTTTACAAGGTACAAATAGTTGGGTATAGAAAAAAAAATTGGATTTAAAGCATTAAAAACAACCGAATATTACAGAAATTACATAAAATAATGCATACTTTTTAATATGCAGTACACTTTATGCCAGCAGCTGCCCCATAATATCTTCTAGGAGGTTCTAAGGTCAAATCATGATTTTTTAAATGAAACACATAATGCTTAGAATCAAACTCTTAAAAGATCAGCATTATCCAGCAATTATTTAAATTGTAGGTTATCTAGAATTCATGTGACCAAAAATGAAACAAAACCAAATTAAGACCCTAATTCTCAAGAACAGGATCAGAGACAGATTAACATGAGTTCAAGTATGATTATCACACATAAGGCATGTGCTTGTCTTGAAATAAATAAAAAGGAAAGTAAAAAGAAGTGGATAAAAAGAACTACAAGTCACTGAAAATTTATTACTGGCTATACATGTCACAAAAATATGTAATAATGATATTTTTCAAGTTGTTTGTTACAAATTTCGAAATATATTTTACAGTTTTATCAAAATGGGAGGATACTAGCAGTTTTTCTTGAAATAATCTTTAATCATTAAAAAGAGTGGTACTTGTCTGGTATTCACCAAGTATATGATGAAAAATAGCACCTGTTACTCTGATTCTTGTGTGTTTTTGGCAATCCTAGGCACTGTCCTGAATTCCTTTATGTAGACAAGATTTTTATTTCTTGTCAGTGCCCTTTTTTTTTTTTTTTTTTTTTTTTTTTTTTGATGGCTAATGTCAGTATTGATCTGGAAACTGGCATCTATATGTAAATAAAAGAATGCACGGGGAAATCAGCAACATGATGGAATAAGTAGTGGTGTGTCTTTTCGTACTTTCCAGAATTCATGTGAAAGCAGAGACAAGTTGCAGAGAATAACAGTCTGTTTGATGCCATTTTGGATTTGACTGCCAGACAATACTATCCAAAAATAATTTTAAAAAAAAATTTAATATCAGAAAGTGGTTTTTAGTATATCTGAGTCTTCTGGAGCCTCTCCAATGGCCAAATGGTTGTTTGCTTAGTACTTATTGGAAGTTTGATCCTGAGCAAAAGAGCTGGCTGTTTTTATGGTTCTCCCCAATTAAATTGTGATAATGAGCCAGTTTTTCCTAGAAAATCCTCCATGAAAGCATTATTCCCTTTAGGCCAATAGCATTGCTATATTTTGCTCTTGTGTGCTTTACTCTATTTCAGCAACCATTCCAAGAAACTGAGCATACTGAATTAAAAAAAAAAAAAAAAAAAAAAAAAAAAAACCATAAAAAAAAAAAAAAAAAAAAAAAAAAAAAAAAAAAAAAAAAAAAACAAAAAAAAAAAAAAAAAAAAAAAAAAAAAAAAAAAAAAAAAAAAAAAAAAAAAAAAAACAAAAAAAAAAAATTTAGAATTAATTAACAGTTTTTCAAAATATTTCGTCTAAAAAGATTTATACTGTTTGAAGTAATAAAATATACAAGCTAAATTTTCATTTTAAGTTTCCAGTTTAGCTTTTGTTTAGATGTGAGTAGATGCTCTGCTTTTTTTTTTTTTTTTTTTTTTTTTTTTTTTTTAATTTATTTTCCAGAGTGTGTTCTAATTCTGAAGCATCTACAGAAATATTTATATCAACCAATATTTTCTGATAGATCACCAACAATATATTGATATCTTTTATTAATAAAATGTATTTTCGAAATTAGCACATCAATGAAAAAGGTTTTTTGGTTTCTAGTGGCTATTGTTTAGAAATCATACTCAGAATTGCAATTATTATTCTGTGCAAGGTTATCTTCATATGAATTTCATAAAATAAGAAATCTTCCATCATGTACAGTTTTAATGTATAGGAATTTAAACACTCAATGTTTTTGGTAAAATACCATGAAAATATTGTACTGCTTCTTATTTATTTTTCAACAAATCTAGTAAATGCATAATACAAAATAACTTTCTGTAATTTTGCTATAAATTAGCTAATTGTTCAATGATTTAGGCCAAATTTACATGGCTAAAAAACAAGCACATTGTGCAGATCCAACCAAAATTGCCCAATAAACATTAATGGCAATATAATAAAAGAAAAATGTTGTGAGGAAAGTAAATTAAAAGCAGAAAATGCTTAGCAAATTAAAAGCAGAAAATGCTTAGCGAAAGAAATGCAGAAAATGGACTGAAATGGCATAACACCAGTTAGCAAAATAATTAAAAACTGGAGTATAATGATGAAATAAAAATATGGCTGATGTATTGCATTATCTCGTGGTACCAGCCTTGTGATGGATGTTGAAACATATGTTTTATTTTAGATTTTTGTATTATTATTTTCTGTTATATTTTGATGACTGAGTTCTGATTTTCTTTGATTATTATTTTTGCTTAAGGATAAGGTTTTCTCTTAAGGTTCTCTTTATTCTTAAGGTTAAATTCTGGTCAATCTGGAAAGATTATTAAAAAAAATGTAGAGTCATTAGGTTATTTTGATCCTGGAGACATGAAAAATGAACAATGCCGTCTCCGGGACTTGAGCCTGACCTCTCGAATGTGCACCGAGTGGGCTAGTGTTACACCATGATGGATGCAGAAAGGAGGGAGAAAATACCTTATATACTCCCCCTTTTAAAGGGCAACTGGAAATTTAAAAAAAAAAAAAAACCAGTCGCCAAATTCTGGTGGTGAAGAATCATCATCCACCATCTTTTCTTAGTTCGGGCGCTACTGTAGAGTCATTAGGTTATTTGAATTTCGTCAATTGGCCCAGTAGAATAGTAGATGTAGAACTGTCCCCCTTTTACTTTGTGCAGTGCACTTGATGTTTTTGCATTAAAGATCTTTTTCTCAAGTCATCGTGTAAAATCTTGTAATAATTATACTAAAGTCAAGGCATTCCTATTTATTCCTTACTTTTTCTCAGTAATGTATACTGTTGACTAGCTGTTAACCAGCTTATTGGGTATCATCTTCTTTTGAAATTCTTCTCTCGCAAAATATCTTATGCTATTCAAGCACAGAGCTTTTCAATAATATCTTGTCACTATACTCGTATAAGCTTCCTGCTGGCATCTAAAGGTCATACTAGTAGATAATGATAGTAGTGTTTCAAAATCGATTTCCTTGAAACAAAATGAGCTATATAAGAGAAAATCTATGAAAGTTCTAATGTAGCATTTATTTGTGTGATCATTGATCATAACCATATACTTCCAGTTAAGAAAATGTTCAAAATCAAATATTCATATTATGACATTTTAAAATTTACAGTACCAGTTTCGTAAAAATTCTGATGTTGACTTTTTTATTTGTTTCCCCTGTTTATATTGTTTGTATAAAACAAAGTTTTTAGTCAAAACATTGATAGAAGTATACGAACAGCACTTTTTAACCAAAGAATAATTGAAAAGTCCAAAGAATATAAAGCTAAATATATTTCAGTATTATTAAATTATCGAGCTGTTCATTAATTTTATCCAGTTATTTTAGCAAATGTAATTCCATTAATTTTTAATTGCCTGTTGATTACAAAGTAGTTTTGATTGTAATAATAGCACAGCATAACTAACTTAGATACAGGTTTGTCCAAGTTTTTGAAAGAAGAGCCTTACTGCTTCTGTGAAACTAACCTTTCACTTTGTAGAGACATTAGATATTTTTGGAAGCAGGCAAGATAAAAAATTAGCAACACCTTTGCCAGGAATCGAACCACGGGCCTCTCAATTATGCGCTGACCGTGCAGACGATCACACCATGAAGGCTCACTAAGAAGGCGAGAGAAATACCTTATAACATACCAAATGGGATAACAGCATTTTGATGTGATTCGATAATTGTAGTTTCTATGAGATAAAATTTTAAAGTGTTCCTAGGCCATAAATAAAAGAGAAAAAAAGAATGATGTGGTAATTATACAGCCCAAATAAATAACATATGCTAAAATGCCTACATTATTTCCATTTATTTGAGTATTTGGGTTTAGTATTTAGTATTCATTCTCAAGTTCTACTCTCATGCAACATAAATTAAATGGGATATTTAATTTTAAAATTTTAGATTAATTTTCCTGAAAATTTAGGCCTCTTAAACAAATTTAAGAGCAAAATATATAAATTTCTCTGTAATTTAAACTGAAATATCAGTTTAGAAAAACATTTCTGATATTAATAGATTTAATAATTAATATTGTTTATGCACAGATACAATTATTATTTACTGGTCTTATAGGTTAATTTACTATATCATAAAAAGTTTTTTTAAAAAAGATTCTATTCACTGAATCTTACAGAAGTCATGTTCTAGAAAACAGTGGCAGGTTTCAATATTGGCACATAGCTAACTCGTAACACTATTTGCATAAATTAAACATGAAAACCATTTCTAGCCTGATGAATTTTTTGTGTGACTGTTAGATTCTGAGGTAATAATGTCATATATGATTTGTTGCTTTTAATTATTTATTTATGTCTTGTATGGGGTCACTAAAAGACTTTTTGTAAATGTGAGAATAAATACAAATAGTTAAAAATATATAAGTGAAAATAATTTGATTAATTCATTTGTTTGAGTACCATCTGCAAGATTGGGAAATTTTTTGGGGGGTTTATGATTCAATGATCGTATTCTAATCAGCCCAATCGCTTAAAGGCCCGTCCACACGAGTATGCTCGTGACGTAGTTGACGCAGGCGTAAATTGACATGACGCAGAAGACGTAAAATTGAGTTCGCTCCTGTTCAGCTTTTACGTCCGTAAAGTGAACGAACAGCCAATAGCCGACTGAGTTCTTATCATGTGTCATAATCAGAAAACCTTCTTGCTTACCCATTTCAATATGGCGTCAGAACCACCAGAGATGAGTTTTTGCTTAGAAATATCATAACTGTATACAGCAATAAAATAATCAGCATTGTTCAAGCCATCTTCAGATTTCTCAAACCGTATATATTGGTATAAATTTCAAATTCTCATTAAAGGGAAAAACTGTATATTTATAAAGCAATGATCCGACCAGTATATCCATATGCTTCACCTGTTTATAACACCGTAAGTAATAGGAACCTAAATAAATTACAGTTTCTACAAAATTGTAGTTTCTATGAGATAAAATTTTAAAGTGTTCCTAGGCAATAAATAAAAGAGAAAAAAAGAATGATGTGGTAATTATACAGCCCAAATAAATAACATATGCTAAAATGCCTACATTATTTCCATTTACTTGAGTATTTGGGTTTAGTATTTAGTATTCATTCTCAAGTTCTACTCTCATGCAACATAAATTAAATAGGATATTTAATTTTAAAATTTTAGATTAATTTTCCTGAAAATTTAGGCCTCTTAAACAAATTTAAGAGCAAAATATATAAATTTCTCTGTAATTTAAACTGAAATATCAGTTTAGAAAAAAACATTTCTGATATTAATAGATTTAATAATTAATATTTTTTTATGCACAGATACAATTATTATTTACTGGTCTTATAGGTTAATTTACTATATCATAAAAAGTTTTTTTTTTTAAAAAAAAAGATTCTATTCACTGAATCTTACAGAAGAAGTCATGTTCTAGAAAACAGTGGCAGGTTTCAATATTGGCACATAGCTAACTCGTAACACTATTTGCATAAAATTAAACATGAAAACCATTTCTAGCCTGATGAATTTTTGTGTGACTGTTAGATTCTGAGGTAATAATGTCATATATGATTTGTTGCTTTTAATTATTTATTATGTCTTGTATGGGGTCACTAAAAGACTTTTTGTAAATGTGAGAATAAATACAAATAGTTAAAAATATATAAGTGAATGAAAATAATTTGATTAATTCATTTGTTTGAGTACCATCTGCAAGATTGGGAAATTTTTTGGGGGGTTTATGATTCAATGATCGTATTTCTAATCAGCCCAATCGCTTAAAGGCCCGTCCACACGAGTATGCTCGTGACGTAGTTGACGCAGGCGTAAATTGAGACATGACGCAGAAGACGTAAAATTGAGTTCGCTCCTGTTCAGCTTTTACGTCCGTAAAGTGAACGAACAGCCAATAGCCGACTGAGTTCTTATCATGTGTCATAATCAGAAAACCTTCTTGCTTACCCATTTCAATATGGCGTCAGAACCACACAGAGATGAGTGTTTGCTTAGAAATATCATAACTGTATACAGCAATAAAATAATCAGCATTGTTCAAGCCATCTTCAGATTTCTCAAACCGTATATATTGGTATAAATTTCAAATTCTCATTAAAGGGAAAAACTGTATATTTATAAAGCAATGATCCGACCAGTATATCCATATGCTTCACCTGTTTATAACACCGTAAGTAATAGGAACCTAAATAAATTACAGTTTCTACAAAATCAAAGTTTCTACCTTACAAAATTCTTCTTAATTATTATGAATATTGGCTATATCATGTGTAATAAAAAGCTCTATAAATATCCCAATATTAAATACACCAAAAACTAACTTCAGCAATATAACAACTTCTAAAATAAAGCAGTTGAATGGGAAAGAGTATTCAATAAAATACAATTACGAAATTTTGCAGGAAAGTTACAACTTGTGTCATACAGCAATCATTTATTGAAGTTTAATTAAATTACCTTTGCAGTGACTTCTACTTGTTACATTATTTTTCACAAGCACTGCTGTCACAGATAGCTGAGTGGTCAGCTCGCTGCTTTGCAAATAGAAAGGTTGAGAGTTCGAACCTCACCCGTAGACAGTATATAATTCAGTTAGCTTTTCTCATTTTGAAACATGTTTCTTATATTTAATCATGAATCATTATATTCTTATTTTACCTATTATTATTATTATTGTTTTTATTTCTTATTTTATTCATTATTATTATTGTTTTTAATTTAGTTTAAAAATGTGCATTGCAAATAGAAACCCTTATGTAATAATATATCTACATCTTTTTATCATATATCATCTATAAATTATCTCTATTTTTACTTTATTGCATATTTTATCATGCACATAATTTCTCATAAACTGTCCAAAGTTTGAACCTCATTCTAAATTCAAAAATAAATAAAAAGAGAAACAAAAGACCAAGATAGGGGGAGTTAAAAAAAAAAAAAAAAAAAAAAAAAAAAGAAGTTGGTTTTATTATATGGTGGATGGTTTATATAAAGAGAATTAAGTAATTTAAGTAAGTAATTTAATTCTCTTTATATACTGTATTCCAAACTAATTTTATAAATCCTAATTTTCATACAATATGGAATCTGCAAGTCTGTCAAACTGGTCGATACTCATCCTGAAGTAATTAAAAAACAAGTAATATACCAAAAAAAAATCAAGTCAATTCCTACTTAGGTCCACAAAGAAAATAATAATAAAAAAAAAAAATTAAAATACAAACAGATTTTTTTTATTAAAAATTTAAAAAATTTTAATATGTGAAAAAGCTGCATTAATATCAAGTGTCATCCACTACAAATTTAAAAAATTGTATTTGAACTTGAGTGGTTGGAAAAAAAGTATTTTATTAACAACTGAAAATTTGAACAAGATATACGGAGAGTGTGAGCTAATAGACGAATTTAATAATTCCGGATATTAATTTTGCAAACGAGGCAGTAAAGAAAAAAAAATCTCTTTGAACAGGTCGCTCTAAATAAATCTTTCGGAACCATTCTCGTCATTTTTTTTTTTTTGTGGTTTTGCCTCTGCTTAATAAAGTAAAGTTTCAGCTATCAAAAAATCATCTGATTCAGGCAACTTCTTGCAAACATATAGAAGCAGGGCGAAGTAACAAGATACAGCTCCGTTTACGCTATATTAAATCGCCATGTGATTTTTGCGCAAAATAATTGTATTGGTTAAACGCACTCTTCGCAAGCGTACTCATTTGAAATTAAATAATTCAGTCAACTTTTGTATTACCACAATGCAACTTAATTTGTTTTACATGTTCATAAGAGTTAACTATTACTAAATATAGTTGTATGGATTAAAGGACTGTTCAGAAAGTTAAATTTTGCACTATGAATATTTGTTTTATTTAAAATATTTTTGTAGTTGAAGGTATATATCTGTAGAAAATATTCTGGGAAAATAATTGGTCATTTAGAGGCTTTTATGGTTATGTTGTATTAAAACTAATAAAAGTCAATTGAAAAATGCAAATGCAATGATATAAAAAATTCCTGCAAATAATATATGTTACCAAAAAAAAATAATAAACAAAATATTAAAAGAGTATAAAGAAGCAGTATGCTCTTATAATTATGTGTAATTAAATATGAACTTATGAAAATCAATGTTTTTTTGTTTAATGATTTTTAATGCTTGAACAGTGTTATTTATATCAAGAAATAAGGAATAAATATTTATGAACTTGCTTTAGGTTGCAAAAGATAGAATTCATAAAAAAAATTAAAGAAAAATACTTTAAGGTGGAAGCTGCAACTGCCCTTGCAGAAAGTAGCAGAAAAAAATCGAAAAAATTAGAGGAAATTGATTCTGACCGGGAAACTGATGAAGAGAAAAAAGAAAGCAAAGGGAAGAAAAAGGACCGACCTGGATTTAGAGACCGAAAGGTTAGGAAATTGCTGTTGAAGATCTTGAATGTTTCATCATTTTATTTCTTATTTAGTATAGTAGAATTTCAGATATCCAAATTAATTGTAACCGCAATTTGTATATAAACTGCTGGCAATCCGAAAAGGCAACACCATAAAGGAAGCATTCAAACAGCATGAATCTTGCATCATGTTCTATATACTGCAATAGACTATGCAAGTGATTACAATTTCAGTGCGTTCGGGCATCATGGGCGACTGCTGTACTTCTTGAAATCTCTATGTAAAGGTAGGAAAGATTGCCATTTTGAATAATGTGAATTGTGTTCTTGTGAGATATTCTGCATTTGCAGCTTCAGTATGCCTTGTAGAAAATCATTTGCATCATTTGAGGATGTTCCTGAGTTCAACCAAGGCAAAATCATTGCGTACAGAGATTGGAGATTATTCATCTGGGAAATCCGTCATCATGTTGAATGTAGTGTCATGCAAATATGGAATTTGTAGATGCAGGAAAGAAAGACTGAGGGACAGGAGCAACCGTCTTATCGCACCACCTCATGGGAAGGCAGGCTTATTGTGCGCATTACACTGATGGAGTGCTTTGTCAAATCTGCAGCAATCACAATCTGCAGATATCACAATGAATGCAGTCTGTAATATAATAAATTATGTCTGCACAAACAATTCTATGTTATTTGTAGTACAGTGGACTGCCTGCTAGACGTCTGTTGGTTCGCTTATCTTAACTTTAAGCATCAGGCAATTTAATTTGCAATGGTGCACTGAATGGGAAGGTATATTCGAATGGCATGACACTGCGTTTTCAGATGAATCACACTTCTGCCTCCAATACCATGATGGTCATATTAGACTGTTGTGTTATGCATCATCATACTGGCCTTGCATCTAGTGTTATGGTGTGGGGTAATATTGGATTCCACTCCTGTATTGGCACATTTACCAGCCAATGCTATATCTGTGAGATTTTGCAGCCTGATCTTCTTCCTTACTTCCAGGGCTTGTCTGTGACCACATTTCAACAAAACAATGTGTGACCACATGTTGGATGCAGTGTTCAAGCTTTCTACATAGCCCACCATCTTGCATTTTATTCTGGCCTGCCTGTTCTCCAGATCTATCGCTCATCAAACATGTCTGATCAATGATTAGAGAATGCCTAGCCTGGTATGGTGCACCTGCAGGCTACAGTGAACACCAGATGAACTTTGGCTGTGTGTGGAGGCGAGTTGGGCTGCTATTCCTCAGCAATACATCCAAAGCCTCTTTCAGTCAATACCATGACATGTAGCAGACGGTTGTTGACAAACCTGGAGGCAATACTCATTATCGATTTTATTGCCTTCTTTATTTTAAAGAAGGGTGTATTCCAAACCAGTTAGCATTGTGTTTGCTGTGAATTACATGTAATCTGTGAAATAAATTTAGCTTTGATATCTCTTTTCCTTCCTTGTATTGCATTTTGGATTGCCAGCATTTATAAATATAAATTATATGTATATATATAATTAAAACATTTATATACTATATATGTAAAATATAAAAAATAGGACGGCTTTGCTCTAGGTGAACAAGCAACCTTTAATTAACTTTCTGCAATTCAGGATCAGAGGAAGTAAGAAGTGATAGCACATGCCCGACGTCCCTCTTGGTAATACTCCCAACACCCCCTCAAAATTTTATCTTTTTATTTTATTTTGTTAGGAGAGTCAACTATGGTCAAGAAACTGGCTTGGGTTTTTCATATTTTCTATACCAGTCACAATCTGCTGACCATAGTTTAGCACAGAAGTGCTACCACACAAACACATATTTTTCACATATTTAGAAAACCAAACATCTTCTTTCTTATATTATTTTGTAACAATATTTTTTTTTCTTCTTGTTGTAAGGTAATATTCATTTCTAGTTTCTAAAATTCTAGTAATGACTTTAACTTGATCATACAAGTTATTTGTCTTAAATTTTAATTTCATAGGATTTTGTATTTTTACAAAAACACTTTGATATAATGTATAATCCCAAAACCAGTTACCTTTTATTAGGCAACGGAGGTTTTTTGATATTTTGTACCTAGTACCCCCCAACCATCAGCAAGCTAGTCATGCTGATCTGTTGGAGAGGGCATGCCAAACTTTTGATTCAAAGTGTTAATGACTTATTGTATCATATTATTACAGATTTATATTGAATTGTTTTCTTAAGGTATTATATCATAATGTTTTGTATAGAATTTTTAAATTACTTTAAAATATGTCAATGTATTGTTAATTACCTACGATGAGAAGAATGAATGCACGTAATACGTTATGCATAAATCGTATATCTTTTAACTTTTATCTGAAAAAATGTTCCCTGCAAAAAGTTGAAACATCTTCTATTCAAAATTTATTATGGAGACATATTCGTTGAAAAAAGCATAATATTTGTGAGCTTATTTTTATATTGTGGACTTACTGGCACCAAGAGACTTCACCAGTATCTTCATTCGATGAAAAGGACTTCACAAATTTTTCAATACACATTTTGAGAAAAATTGAGGACTTTTATATTTGTAATTTATTTATTATTATTCTTCCATATATTATTGTCTTATAGTTCTAAATTTAGTTATAAGTTATATGTTTATTTATAAATCATTGTAAAATTGTATAATTCAAAAACTTTATAATTATATGAGAAAGATCATAATTTATGATAGGACATAGTTAAAGCCTGTAAGCTATGTCCTAGATGTTTCTTCATGTCTTTCCTCATACTTGCTTCACTAATCTACTAATGCTTTGCTCGCCCAGTCTCTTGTTTTTAGGAATGGGGGAAGATGTAAAATATAAAAAATAGGACAGCTTTGCTCTATGCAAACAAGCAACCTTTAATTAACTTTCTGCAATTCAGGATCTTCCCCCTAGACCAGTACTTTCGAGAACATTCCAGCCTATTATATAACTGCTTCTATAAATAACGAAGTCGTGCCATTTTGGATCAGATTTCTTCTCCTCCTGTGCTACAGCACTTCACTGCTGCTTAAGCCATCTTTCCTTTGTTAGAATGATCATGATGCAGAAAGTTTAAATCACTATTGAATATGTAATTTGGAGAATTTCATCTAAAGTAAAAATGATCTGCGGTGAAAATTAAAATAAAGATACAGAATACTAAAAAGTATAATCCATCTGTGTCATCATTTCTGCTGTATTCCACTTCACCAAAAAAAGAAAAAAATGCCTAGACTCTGATGATGAGCTTCGTCACTCATATGCTCAACTGCCAAATATATATGTAAGAAAAATGAAGGATATGTAAAAGATTAAATTAGCAGCGAAAATTAATTTCCCTTCTCTATTCTTAAAATAGTAACCCCTCTCTGCATTGTGTCATTTCAAGACTATTCTATGTCATATGATTCTTGTGTAATTATGATGATGTAAATGGAACTAAAACTCAACCAGCCAATAGTCATTTTAGAGCAATATTAACTGTCCAATCAGAATGCTTTGAGAACTAAAACTAACTCAGTGTGACTTAAGATTTCATCCTGAGCATTATGCACTTACTTACATGCTTTGGCTTGGTTGAACTGCTGTCTGTCTGCTTCTCATTTCTTACTGCAGATTTATCTAAAATGTAAAAATTCTTGGTATAGACACAATTAATGTGCCAACTTCATTGTGGCTGCAACATATTTGCTGAAATAAAAACTGAAGATTTAATCTGCCTTTGTCTCCAATTTCGTAGTCATTATGGATCAACACTTCTCACTATCAAAATTCCTGCTCCTGAATATATTACATATATATATATATATATATATATATATATTATGTATGTGTGTTTTAATTTATTTTATATATCCCTTTTAATAGATTAGTTCTCCATTCTTTTCTAAAAACAGTAGTATGCTTATAATAAATCTTTCTGAAGCATGGCATTTCAAAGTAATGTACATCATATGATTCTTCTATAATGCAAATTAAATCTTTTGTCCAATTGAGATCAAATCTAAACTTTAATTAATCCAGTAAAGTTGTACTGTGTCATCCTGTTAAGAAATTAACTGTATAACTTCACCATTCTTAATCTGATATCAGTATTGTAATGTTATCTTTTCTTACATTTGCCTGTGTTCTGATAGCATGTTGTGTACAGATTCTTATTGTCACTGCAATTATGTGAAAAGCAAACTTATTAGTTTTTTGTCCTTAAGTATTTATTTACTGTGTTTTATTCAAGGTATTATGTAAAAAATAATGATGGTCTGTAACTATCCGCAATAGCCAATTATTAAAAGAAATAATCAGGAAAAATGCATCGGCGTCTAACAGGCTCAAAATTTGTGTTACTTTTATGTAAGGGGGGGGGGGAACTGAAATGAAATGAAATACATTTCTGACTTTACAATGTGTGTTAAGCTACGGTAATAAAGAGTAGTTAATGAAGATTTAAATTTGCTTATTTAAGCTAAAAGGAAGTAGTTGGTCGTATGGAAATTTCTGTGGTTTTTCCAGATCACAGCATGTTTTCTCGTAATTATTTTGTTACTGCTGATAAGGAGTGACCTTGACCAAAACAGGTATTTAAATGTAATCTTATCTGCTTGTGTTGCATAATTCTATCATGTGGTTTGACATAATGTTTGGTTCACACTGAAGTGCTAAGACTAGGGAGCTTGAAAGCTTATTTTCGTGGTGTTGGGCTGTTTTATTTTAAAAAAAAGAAATATAGATGAATCATATGATATACGTAGTTATTCAGACTGCTCGTAAAATTTGTCTACACATGGACAAAGTACTATTTCTGATGACTCAATATGAAAGGGGTTTGAGAAGTTTAAGCATGGAAATTTTAGCCTTGAAGATGTCCATTCTGAATGAACATCCTCTGTAAACAAGGACTTGTTAAAAGATGCTGCTCAGGAAATGTCAGAGAGACTAAATGTTCTTAAAAGTGTAGAACATGATAATTTGAAGAAGGCTTGTATATGTAAGGTGCCATGATTT